CTCTCTCTCTCTCTCTCTCTCTCTCTCTCTCTCTATCTATCTATCTATCTATTTATCTCTATCTATCTATCTATCTATCTATCTATCTATCTATCTATCTATCTATCTATCTATCTATCTATCTATCTATCTACCTATCTATCTGTCCCTCGCAAGTGAAGCCGAACGCGCCGAACGCCAAAACACCGAGCGCCAAACCGAACGCGCAAAAACACTGCCGAACGTCGAAACACGTCAAAACATCGGCGGCCAATAACCGACAACAGAAGTATATGAACGGCCCGATAACACTCTCGGGGATCGGAAGACTCGAGAAAGTTCTATCGGGCCCGCCCCTCCCCCGACCTAAAAACACCGCCCCTGAACCCGGAAAGGTGGCCGCATACAAAAAAAAAAAATTTGAAAAAAATTGCCCTGCCGCGCCACTCGGTTTAGGTCGGCCTCCCGTGTTAGGTCGGCCTCCCGTGCCGCGGTCCCACTGCCCAGTCCCCGCCTCCCGGTACCGGCCCGTTGCCACGAATTTTGCTAGGCCCGCGACCGGGCATGTCGTCGGGCCCTTTGCTTGCTTTAGTAGTATAGAGATAGAGATACTAATGACCATATATGATCACGGTTGCCAGTGACACCCAAGCCCATAGCAGGAAGAGGTTGAAAGAGGGGGAAAGTATTTCCAGATATTATCGCGTATGACAGTCGTGAAGTAAGCCACTCATAAGGAGTATTTAGTGAAAAAATATGGCTAGGTTAATGCACTCTAAATATTTCGTGCTAGAGAGTGGCGTGGTTAAACCACCAGTACTTCCTAAAGTCGTGCCTGTTAATGCTACGCGATTTTAGGAAACGTACGGGCCACTACAGGAGCGCCCAAATTCATCCAACTAGAAACGTTTCTACTCTATTTTTTTTCGCGGACTATAGCCGGGCCAAGTACTGGTGGTTTAATGCTCAGCGCCCTTGATTCCAATGGAGTCGCTCCCACCGTGACCACCACCCGAGGAACTCCCACTCCTATTGGTGGCCCCGTAGCCTGTCGAGTTTCAGGTCTTCACGCTCCCATAGTCAACAGCAGTTCCCACGTCACATCATGGACCGCCGCCCACTGCCCCACCCCGCGGCCGCGTATTTTATTATGATCATCCCTGCGGCCCCTCCTCGGAGCATCCTCGGGAAATCGTCCCAAGGACAGGTGCAACGGCGACGGGAAATTCCTCGGGCGACCTAAAGGAAAACTCCTCGGGCCCCCAGGATGCCCCGAGGACTCGAGGAGTGTCTAACGAGGCCCATAGTCAACAGTAGTTCCCACGTGCTCCTCCCAACACCAGTCCCACCACCACTGGCTGCCCACCCACTGCCTCCAGAGGTGCCGCAGTTGGATGTGCCCGCTGTCCCGTACTAGACTCTCTCTCCTCTCTCCCTTCGTCGTGCTGAACTTCACACTGTTGTGATTTGACTCTTGTAGGATGTCTGTTGTAGGAGGAGTTGGAATCGCCCTGCTCCTTGGTATTCCACAGGGAGACACAGCCCCTTGTCGGAGCTGAGGGGGATGGCCGAACCTAGGGATCGACCAAGAAGACATCGTTCGCCCCATACCCCGTGGCTAGGTCCCACTTGCACGAACTAAGGGTCTGATCCCACTACTACACTACAGCCCAGTTACACTGTAGCTTGCGGATCCCACCACTTTCCGACTTCGTCGCAGCCGCCGAAATATGTTGCCATACTTCCGTTTGTATGTGTCGTGGCAGCACCTCCGCGAATGGTGCAAGCGTAGTTGCTACAAATTTTGTGTAGGCCGTGAGGGCATCTCTGCAGCGAAAAAGAGAGAGCAATTTTTTTATTTTTTTATTTTTTTGTCTTTCGTCCGTTTGCAGCATTTCGATTGGCTGCCCTCTGCAACAGCCCACAAAGAACCGCCGCGGGTTCAGGAAAAGCACCGAAGAAGTCGCCCTGGTGGGATCCAATTTTTCTTTTTCGTCCCGCCACGGCCGCTGCCATCTTTGTAGTGCTTTTTGGTGACTACATTCGTAGTGAAGTGGTGGGATCAGACCCTAAGAGATACTGACCGTAGATAGCAAAAATCGACGACCGAAATCTCCTAATTTGCGCAAGTGGGACCTTGCCCCCGAATCCCACCCTCGCTGCCGACGCAGAGGGCTGCCGTCTCCGGACCCCTTGCTGCTTTATGTGCTGTAATCAAACTTTAAACCACCAGTACCTCGCTAAGCTATGGGCCGCGGGCACTCCCGTATACGCGCCGCAGCCCTAGGGGGGTCGTTCAAGGGAAGGCCCGGTCGCTGCGTGAAGGCCGGGCTCCGCTTCCCTAGGAACGACACACTTGAGAAAACAAAAAAAAAAAAAAAAGGGAAAAAAAAAACAAATACACAAACGAAAAAAAAAACGAACGGACAAAAAGTTGAAGTCGCGAACTTGAAAAAAACTCAAGGGGCCGCGCGGTAACCAGGTTCGGCCGAATCTGTGCCGCCGACCGAAGCGATACCATCGATGATATCGACTCGGTGCGATCCCTCTGACCTCCCTCCTTGCAGGGGGGATATGGCGACATCTTAGCCATAGGAGTGGAGAGAAAGGCGGAGGTGCGCAGGCCCTACCATGGTAGCTTTGTAAGGATAAAGTATGTACGGGAGGAGTAAGCCAACAGCAAGTCAGGTGGAGAAGAGGAAGGGAGAAGACACAAGTCTCGGAGCAACGAAGTGCATGAGGATAGTGGGAGACAGCAAGAGATGGCGAATACACCAGGAGATGAGGGGACGGGGAGGTCCCCTCCACCAGGTCCGCAAGAGGAAAGGGACTACTGGGAGGATGAGGATAGGATTAGGAGCCTATTGACCATGTGCTTTGACGATGGTGTATATCCCATGAAGATTGATCCAGGGGAGATGGTAATTGAAGGAAGACAAGCAAGATTTAAACTTAATACGTCTCTTGACGAAATCAAGGTGAAATGGCTCAAAGAGCGGACGGTGACGGTAATATTTAAAGAGGCGGCGAGGTTCTTGGCGAAGAACGTGAAGGATGACCTGGTGCGGGCCTTCGAGGATGGTTGGATCATTGGAAATACTAATCTGCAACAGAACACCCGAAGAGGAAGACTAAAGATAGAAGGTCCAGGAGTAGCTTCGTATGTGGCGAAGTCAAGGGAGGTGGCAGACTATATCAAATCGGAGGGGCAAGTGGAAATAACCCTAGGTACAGACAAGTATAAAATTTTGTTTAAACCCTGGATGACCAGGCCAGAATTCAGGGAAGAGAGAAGACAAGAGGAGAGTAGAACGTTTTGGGTTATGGCCATGCAAGTACCGTTGGATGATATGCCCTTCATCTATGCTCAAATAGAGAAGGCTATCGGGAAGATTATTCTAGCGCATCCAACAGACGCAGATCCATCAAGACCAGCTTTGGTCAATGCGAGGTTTGACTTGGAACTGGAGGCGCGACCGAATATGAAGGATGTGCTCTGGGTGGAGACCGCGAAAGGGGATCTTCTGGAGATCAAGATGGCCTGCTCAGACACCCTCAAATGCAGCAATTGCAGACAGTTCTTCCATTCGGAGCAGGACTGTAGACGATGAGGAGGGACCCGTTCCCGAGGACCGAGACCGGTCCAATCTGGCGTGAACCAAATGCAGCAGCAGGGACAGGCCACGTCATCGACTGGGGGGAATCAAGGACGTCCCTACGTAGGCCCGATGGGTCCAAGACCGGCGACACCAAGACAATCATCGGGTGCGATCCATCCTGGGCAGCTGCGAGCCAACCCCGCGTTCTCCCCCCAAGGAGGATTAGGGGGTCAGCAAGGTGGGAATAACCCTCAAGGAGGGGTAACCCTAGGTCAATTTGCGGGATCGTTGCCTCCGTTGGGTCAAGGGAACCCATGGGGACAGTCAGAAGGTTTGGGAGGTACGTCGAGTTTGATGGGGGGAGTACAGGCCGGCCTAATGGGGCAGACGGTCGGAGGAACGGGTGTTGGAGGAATCTGTGGAACAACAGGGGTCTCGCATCTCCAGCCGGGAGTTTGGCAGGGCGGAGCTTCGATGGACTGGATGACGATGAATGGTATCTATCCTCCATGGGCGGGGTTGCAAGTAGGGTATAATGACTTGCCCAACTGGAATCAGCAAGTGCCTTCATCCGGACAAGGTGGCGTTCCGGCCTCGGGAGCATTGTACCAGCAGGGCTTACCTTCACAACAAGCAGGAGCTCGAATGCCTCTCCGTCCAAGACCATTGTTTGGTGGCGGGTAGGGGGCGGATGCAGAGGGTAGCAGACATGAGGCACGACGGGAGGACAGTAAACTAGGTGGAGCGAGTTCCAAGACGCCGGGGAAACAGAGAAGGTTGAGCACAGCCTCACAGGTGCCCCTTACTCCGGAACCTTCTGGAAGCTCAAGACTCTCCAGAAGTGGTTCAGAACGTTCGGTTGCACAGGAGGAAAGCCTAGCCACCCCAGATCAAAAATCGACAAGGGATAAGCATACCGCCACAACGAAGGACCCGAGCTCAGAGATGCCGCAATATGTCGTGCCACTTGTCTGTACGGCGTTGAGAGACACCCAATGGGTGGTCACATGGCAGAAGGAGGCGGAGGCGTGGACAATCTTCGGGCATGCAGTCTCGGATGTCCCGACTGTTGTAGATATAATAAATCTTATGAGGATGCTGTACTTAAACAAGTTCCCGATGAGAGTTATTCCAGATGTCACCATGCCGAGAATCCTGACGGGTCCCACAGGAAACAAGCTCAAGTTTTACGTACCGCTGGTGGATGCGAGACTGACGGAGGGGATGTTAAAGGAGCTGGAACCACTGGGCCTTCGCTCGGTCCCACTGTCGACCTTTGCGGAAGCAGAAAAGCAAGACTTGGCGCGGTTGACGATCTCTCCGCTGATGCTATCCGCGGATGCTCTGGTGGAACTCAAGAGCAGGTTGCCGAAAGGGAAGAAATTGGATTCAGCTTTTGTGAAGGATGCTCTGATGAGCAATTGGCCAAGTGATGCGTCGAATCAAGCCCATATCCAAGCACTCCAGGGGACTGGAAGCAGAAAGGGTTCGGGGATACGACAGGGAGAAGCAAGAGGGCGAGGGTAAAGTCGTGGATGCACGAAAATAAAATTTCAATAATATGCTTTCAGGAAACGAAATTAAACTGTGAGAAGATAGAGGAGTTGGGCAGATGGTGGGATGACCCACAAATTTGGGCAGCGGCTAGAGGAACGAAGGGGGGAGTTGGAATTTTAGTGCATCGCGATCTGGATGCAACTATTGAGGATTTTAACGCTGACATTTGGGGAAGATGGGCTTGGGTTGTTTTGAAGCAGGGCGAATTTAGATGGGTTGTGGCTTCGATATATGCACCGACAGAACGGAGGGAGAGACATAGTTTCTTGGAGGAGGTAAGGGTTTCGCTACCAGATGTTGACGAGATTGTAATTGGGGGGGATTGGAATATGGCATTGGACTCTGCCCCAGATCAATTATCTAATGGCTGCCCAAAGGATGTGTTGGAGTTCGTGGACCTGATGCCAGATCTGGATCTGCATGATGCATACAGGGACCTGCATCCGACAAAGGAGGGGTACACCTGGTTTTCGCATCAGGGGAAGGGTAGGCGGATGGATTATTTACTGACAGGTGGCAGTTTGCGGGGAAAAATTATCAGTATCTTAGAGCATACCACCCCGATTTCGGACCACAAACCAATCGTTGGGCTGTTCAGCCTTGGTCCAGAGAATCCAAGGGGAAGAGGTTATTTTAAGTTAAATACTCAGAATCTCCAGAACAAGGATCTGATGGACTGGACCCAGGGGTTCTGGGAGAGATGGGAGACACGGAAGGAGAGCTTCGCCACGCTGGCTGAGTGGTGGGAGGCAGGGGCAAGAACTCTGAGCAATCTGCTTAACGTGTTTTCTCGGATTCTAGCTCAAAAGAGGCATAAGGAAGAAAGGACTCTTTGGAGGAGGGTACAGCAGGCGGAACACAGGATGAAGCAGCATCCTATTTCGGAACTGACTTGGGGTAAGGAGAGGGCAAGAAGATTGGCGGACTGGGACTAGAGGCAACAAGAGAAGGTGGAGCTTTGGGCGGAAAGGACGAAAGTTAAAGGTCTGGAAGTTTACGACAAGATGACGAGGGACACGTTTCAAAGACTGATTCCGGCCAGAACATGACCAACTATGAAGGAGTTGAAGCACCCTTTTGATCAGTGTGAACCTGTAGCCACTCAACCAGAAGACATGTGCAGATATGCAGTTTACTATTTCAAGGACATTATGACTTCAAGACGACCAGGAGAAGGAGCAGACTCAGATTTAACACGAGGCTCTAACCACTGGGAGAATACTACAGTAAGGCTCTCAAGGCAAGGGCGCCTGGACCTGGACCGGCCAATTACCAAAGAAGAGGCGGGAGAAGCGCTAAAAGCAATGGCCAGCGGAAAGACCCCGGGAAACGATGGGCTCCCAGTTGAGTTCTACAGGGAGCACTAGGAGATACTAGGGAAGGATTTGGTTGAGATTTACAACGAGATTCAAATGGGAGGAAGGCTCCCGGAGAGTGCATGTAGAGGGATAATCGCCATCTTGTTCAAAAAGGGTGACACAAATGAGATTTGGAATTGGAGGTCAATTTCGCTTCTCAATGTGTCATACAAGATCTTGGCCAAAGTTCTGGCCAGACGGTTAGGGAAGTATCTGCCATACATCGTTGAAGATGACCAGGCTGCATTTGTAAGAGGTCGCTCTATCTTTGAGAACATAGTTACTACTGTAGAGGTGTTGGAAGTTGTGAATAGGGACGATAACGACTTTTCAGTCCTCCTCTTAGATATGGAGAAGGCTTATGACCGAGTCAATTGGTTATACGTTTTAACATCATTAAGATGGATTGGATTTGGGGAGGTCTTTTGCACATGGGTGAAGGCATTGTATTCTCAGTCAACAGCGTCGGTCATGGTGAACGGACATATTTCACCTCCATTCCGGTTTACGCGATCTCTGAGACAGGGGTGCCCTTTGGCCCCTCTCCTGTTTGTTGTCCATTTGGAGATCCCGTTGAACAACATCAGGAACCAGGCTCAGATCGTGGGTTTAAACGTTGGGCGCCGAGCCTGTAAGGTCAAGGCACTTGCTGACGATCTTTTCGTAGTCTCAGCCAATACTAAGAGCTCAATGTCTGCACTTAGATATTGCCTCCATCAGTATGAAGTCCTGTCAGAAGCAGCCATCAACTGGTCGAAATCAGTGTACCTCCTTCCTGAGAAATACACACGTGCTGTAGACTGGGGGATGAAAAGAGTTGGCTCAAGGGAATCTGAAAGATTTTTGGGTGTTCAAGTAGCACTTACCTCGTGTGTGCTCAGACAGGAGGAGATTCTCCAATCCAAGGTGATGCAGAAACTCTCCACTTGGGGGAAGGCCCCGCACCTCTCGCTTTTCGGTAGAGCTTTGGTGGTCAACGCTGCACTGTTGACATTACTGACGTTTGTGGGAAATGTCCGTCCAATTGGTAAGAAGACACAAACGATGGTCAAAAGGAAGGTAGCCGAGTTCGTCTGGAAGCCGTATGCGGAAGAAGGGGAAGCAGTGATGTCCAAGGTCGCATGGGACCTCATATGTGCACCTAGACAAGAAGGAGGCCTGGGTATGGTGGACCCAAGAAAAAGGAACCAGGCCATGCTCGCAAGATGGGTAATCAGAGCGATAGTGGAGGGAAAGGAGAAACATTGGATTTCATTAGCGGAGGATATCCTTAGCAGGGAATGGCATTTGACCCGACAGATGGACGTTTGGGCCTGTGTATGGATCGATTCATACCTGAGAAGGAGGATTAAATCTGAGTTCTAGGGTGCTGTACTACAAGCATGGCGGGCTGTTAAGCCGGATATGACTTGCGAGCCACATACTAAACAGGAAGTCCTGGCACAGATTTTGTTTGAGAACCCCCGCATTAGGAGTCCAGGAGGTGATATGCTCAAGGCGAGTGTGGAACCAGGTAACTTTGGTAGAACGTGGATGGAAAGAGGGGTGGTAAGAGTACGAGACATCTGGGATGAACTGCGGGGCTGCTGGCTTACTGTAGAAGATCTAGAAAGGAAGCTCCGTCCTTGTAAGTACACCAAACTAAGAAGGAAGCAGGTGCTGGAAGCCTTACCTGAAGAATGGCTGCAAATACTGTCTTCGTTTCATCCTGATCCAACTGGTACTTGGTACGAACAATGGGGGGAAGTAGGTGAGGAGGATACAATATCAAGAGTGTTTCTTAAGATATTGGAACAGTCGGAGGAGAACGGCAGGAAATTTCAACAGTGGAGATTGATTGATACAGAGGGTAATTTGGAAGTTTTGGAGGATGAAGAGGAGTTCATCAGGGTTCCGCAAGGAAGACTGGAGGAAGTAAGAGTAAGAGAAGGGCTCGTAGCAGAAGGGGTATGGAAAGTTGGTATTTGGATGAATGGAGAACCGATCAGGACTCTGAAGGCTGGTCCTAATCAATGGGCCTGGAGAAGTAGAGGCCCACATGGGGAGCACGCAAGGCTAGATGAGTTCTCTCTGAGTTTAGCTCAGGATATGATAACCCCAATGAGAACCCCCCTCATGGTTGCAACGGAGAGGTGGAGCAAGATTCTATCTACGGATGTGTCGAATATTGTTCGGGCACTGCAGAGCTGTTGGGAACAAATCATGGATGCCCCAAACCAAAGGGCTGCCTCTCTGCTGTGGTTGGAATCGATGATGGCAACTCCATCTGCTGTCTGGCTCATAAGTAGGGGAATGATTGTGGAAGCGCAATGCAACATGTGTCTTTGGTCCTTGGAATAGACTCGACATATCTGGTGGACTGCCCAGCCTCCAAAAGGATATGGGAGTGGTGGGCAAAACAATGGGAAGGTTGGACAGGGGGACGAAGATGGTTCGCAGAGACTTGGGGACAGGGAAGTTATTTGGTTTCAAATAGTACAGAGGGGAAACTTTGCTATGCTGATTGGCTTCTGAGTTAGATGTCGTTGGGGGTGGTTGTCTCTTACCAGGTGCACTCGGTTGGTATCCGCAGTAGGATACAAGAAGGCAGGAGGCCTAAGAGAGTGTCCAGAGTAGGACTGAGTTCCTCCTCTGCCGGTGTAGGCAGAGGTTTCAGGGGAAATTCCCTGAGTAGGCTAGTGGTAGTTCAGTAGGAGTAGGTGAATGAGAGGAACGAGTTTGTGGAAAGGAAAACAATAAAGAAAACAGTTTTATAAGTAGTAGGGGTTGGATATGGTCTGTTATCTGTTTGTTCTGAGATTCGGTATTGGTTACAAGTTAAGCTTGAGTTGTTGGGGATAGCCCCACGGTAGGAAGCTGAGTCCTGACAGGGATATCAGCAGGTGCTGTTTCTGATCCGGGTTGTTTGTGAGGAATTCTCGGCCTCATTCTTGTATTAATGGATTCCTTGCTTTTTCCAAAAAAAAAAAAAAAAAAAGTTGAAGGCGCACGCGCGCACGAGAGAGAGAAAGAGAGAGAGAGAGGGGCCCCTCCGTGCAGGTCGCGGCCACTCTCTCTCTCTCTCTCTCGCGCGCGCGGCCTCATGGTACTGCGCCCTCGCTAGGATGAGCAAAATCGAATGAATCTGGCGCTATAGCTGGGCATATACATTGCCTTGTTTTTGTGTGAGTGTGTGTGTGTGTGTGTGTGTGAGAGAGAGAGAGAGAGAGAGAGAGAGAAAGAGAGAGAGAGGGGCGACGAGTTTGCCCCTCTCTCTCTCTTTCTCTCTCTCTCTCTCTCTCTCTCTCTTTTTTCACGGCTGGCCTCATGGTACTGCGCCCTCCATAGGATGAGCAAAGTCGACTGAATCTGGCGCTATAGCGTGGGAATATACACTGCCATACTTTTTTTCGTTTTTTTTTTTGTTTTTTTTTTCGTTTTTTTTTCCGCTTTTTTCGTTCTTTCACTCCTACGTTCGGGATGCCTGCGCCCGGTAGTCCTAGCCTTGGCACGGGTCGGCGTACCGGT